GTCTCACTAAGTTGCCCAGGCTGGTCTCAAACTTTTGATTCTCCCATGCCCAGCTCCCAGGTTGCATGTATTTCTAATAAATTTTTCCTGAAAAATTGTAGATTTGTAAGAAATAAAGAAGTATGCTGAAACAAACAAAAAAATCACCCATAATCTTCTCAGATTAACTCTCATTTATTTCCTTCCAGACTTTCTTTACATGAATTGATTAAATGTTTTCTTTATACAATCAAGACCATCCTAGATGGACGGTTTTGTTTTCTGTTGTGCTTTACTTATAAAATGGTATTTCCCCAGGTTATTAAAAATTCTTCAAGAACATGACATTTAATGTTTACATAACATTCTTATATATGGATGTATCATAATTTATTTAACCAGCCCTCCATTGCTAGACATTTATGTTGGTTGGGATTTTTCACAGTTATAAATAACAGTAATAAGCATCCTTGTACATGGGTCTTTTTTGGCGTCTTTGGTTATTTCTTGGATTGAGTTCCTAAAAGTAGATGAATGGGACCAGAGGGTCTGTCTGTTTTTAAAGCTCTTGACACCACCGCTCAGTGGTTTTCCAGAAAAGTTGTTCTAATTTTCCCTTCCATCAACAGAGTCAGAGTGGCCCAGATTTCAATTTTCATCAATGCTGGTACTGTCTAAAAACAAAACAAAACAAAAATTCCTATTAATTTCAACAGGTAAAAACAGTATTGTATTGTTGTTTTAATTTGCATTTCGCTGATTACTGGTGAGGATAAACCTTTTGTACTCCTCTTTGTGCCACGCATGGATCACAATGAGCTATAATTATATCTGTACATCCTGCCTCTGCCTCACCCACCTTAGCTCTTGAGGACAGAAGCTAGAAAGAGAATGTTCCTGGAGTGCTGGGTGGATTAGCCGAGGACTGTCTTCAGCCTGAGTTTTGGCATTGGGAAGATCTGGGTTGGCTTAGCTCTGAGACTTGAACTTGGATAGATGACCTCACCTCTCTGGGCCTCAGTTTCTTTGTGTCTTAAGTGGGTTGGATTGAGGATTAAATGGTTAAGGGTGTGAAGACGCATGTAAAGGGCTGGAGCAGTGGCTATTATTCTGGGGCTGGGAGGTTGCATTCTTCTTGACTGCAGAGACTTGGCCTTGCTCAGGGAAGAAATAGCCAGTTCCTCCCTCCCAGAGGTAAGATGGTGCTCAGATGTCTCTTGATTCAGAGGTGGGCAGGAGCTCAGAGAAAAGGGTACAGGCAAGACTGGAAAGGGCTGCGGCAGAGTTCAAGGCCAGAGTTTAAGTTTAGCAGAGCCAAGAGGGTCTGAGTCCTTGTATAAGTCTGAGAGCAGCTCTGTTCCTATCGGGCAAGCTTTGCATGCTGTGAACTGTTTATCCATGCCATCGGCTGGTGTGATTTAATTATCATCGTTGATGCCCACTGAACAGAGAGGGAGACCACCTCTGCCGATTGGCACAGCATTTCTTCCAGAGATTGGCTCTCTGTCACAGGCAGCATCTTGGAGACCAGCCCCTGCCTGGGGCGCCCTTACCCATTCTGGATCAGGACATGTTCCAAGACAGACACGCACAATTTCTCCACACATTAGCAGCCTAATGATACTGTCGCTTGGAGTCTGGGAATGAGGAGAAATCGGCTTTTTCTCGGTAATTAACATGACTGATGGGGCTTGAGAAGGAGTAAGCACCCCCGAAGTGAGAACTCCAGCTCCTGGGAAAGTCAGCCAGGTCATCCCTCTGCCTCTGGGCGGGTCTGGGCTCCAACCTGGCCTCCCTTGGTACCACCAAGCCCCCTGCCCTTCCTCAGTGGTTGCTCCTTTAGGGAGCACCTGGTGCTGACCCAGGAGGTCCCTCCTTGAGCCTGCCCACAATCTTTCATGCTGCAGCTCATTGGCTCTACCACTGCCCTCAGGAGGGCTGCTATTACTTTTGGGGGATCTTTAGCTGTGGCTGTTTTCTGTGCTGCATTTTTAAATGAAGAGAGGAACACACCTGGGTGAGGGTGGGCAGAGATGGCTGTTTCGGGCTTGGTGGGGAAGGCAGGTCTGGGCTTCAGCAGGCAGGGGGCTAGGCTAACCCAGCTCTCCCTTTGGAGAGATGCATTCACCAGATTATGAATCTTTCTCTGGATCCCTGCCTCAGTTTCCCCACTGTCGTCAGGGAAAATGCTTGTATCCCATCCCTTTGTCTTCTTTCACTTTCAGTGCTGGGTGAAGGAGCTGTGGAGTGACCCAGGCCCTGAGCAGCTCCAAGTCTGGGGTGGGGAGAGGGGACAGACGGTGCCTGATGCACAAGCGCTGCTGCAGGGACCTGTTCCCCAGAGGAAGGAGTCTGCGGGCTGGGGTCTGGGAGGATGCATGTGGTAACAAACAGTGGTGTTGGGAGAGGAATCCAGGTTGGGGGAACGGCACTGTCAGGGTGGAGGTGTGCAGGAACCTAGAGCATTCTGTAAATGGTGTGCAGTCCCATGAGCACGTGTGCAGGTGGGGAGAGAGCAAAAGCTAGGAGGTCCCCAGGTGCCAGACAGTGCTGGCAGGGATGCTGAGGTGGGAGCTGCAGCATTATTCTGATGGCACTGGGGAGCCATAGAGGATTTAAGCAAAGGAGGAATGTGGATGGATTTGTGCCTTAGGGTGATCACTTGGAAAAAAAAATATGGACAAGAAATGGTTTGAGGACAGGATTGGCAGCTGCTACGTTAAGAGGGGAAAGTAGATGAAACCCCATGGCAAACTAAAGGTGGGATTGTGGTTGTGAGTGATCCAAGATAGGAATCGAAGATAAGTCTGAGCACTGCCTTCTCCTCTCTCCAAGAACCTTCAGTGGCTCCCAAGGCCTCCAGAGGAATGTTAAATCCCCTGGAATAACAGTCCCAGTTTGTCCTTCCAAACCTCCGTAGCCCACCAGCCAGTACCCTGGCCCTACTGGTTTCTCCATCAGCTTTCAGCTCATGTGTCTCATGTCAGCATTCGAGCCTTTGTTTACATTCGTTACTGCCCCTCATGTACCATCTTCCCTTCTCTCTATGCCTCCCTGAGTCCTTCCCACTCCCTCCGTGAAGCCAGCCTGGGATGTCCTGGCTCCCTCTGCTCCCACTTCCATTCTCTGCCTTTTTCTTCTACCATGTAATCAGCATAAACAGTTGCTTAAAGATCCTTTAAGTTGCTTAAAGAACTGCAGTTGTGAGCCCAGGACAGGGCCAAGAACTGGCTCCCATCGTCCAGGGGCCGCAACAGGGCCAGGCTGGGTGAACAGTCTTGTCTGCAGCTATCTTTCCTGGCCAATGGAGCTGTTGTTATTGCTCCAAATTAGGCACCAATTTGCCCGTGTAATTGTTTGTTAATTGGCATGAAATCCTAATGTAATTAGTTGGGCCCCTTATCCGGGAGCCTGGGGAGCCAAAGGCAGTGGGGGGCCGCAGGAGCAGGGAGGGTCTAGGAGGCTGGGGAAATGTGTCTGAGAGAGGAGGCCCTGAGCTGCCATCAGGGCTGAGGCAGGAAGTGACAGAAATTGCAGGATCTCACAGCCAAAAGCACTGCTGGAGAGGCTCATTCTTGCTGCCCATCTCACAGATGGGGAAACTAAGGACATGTCTTAGAAACTGGTGGCAGAATTGGGCCACACATTCAGGTCATCTGGGTCAAGGTGGCATGGTCTATGGCTTTCTGGCATCTGTTTCTAAAGAAAGGAGGCAGGGAAAGTAGGGGTGAGGGGTTGGTACCAGCTCTTTTGAGTAGAAAATGCAGTGAGTAGAAGGCCGAGGCAGGCTGGCACGTGGTTAGAGCCAGGGAGCAATGGGGACAAAGGCTCAGAGAGTTTCTCTCTGGGGAGTGACCTAGGTGTTGAGAGGCAAGATGGGGCTGGAAAGCCTAGCTCTTCTCCTTCTCCAGCTGACAGGCAGGTCCTCTTTCCCAACCTGTCTCTCGGGAAAGGGTCAGGAGAAGGTACTAGAGCTGGTTCATCCCAACTTGGGGGAACTGCTTGTTAAATGTTTAGGACTTGTGCTAGCCAGTTGACGTCACACTCTAAACTGGTTATCATGGGAGGATTTACACCATGGGAATTGGCAAATGCTGCTAATCAGGGTGACATCTCCTTCCCCAAGCCAGTTGCCAAGGAGGTACCAGCACTGAACCCATCTGGATGTGGTGAAGTAGCCCTGGAGAATCTGATCAAGCTAGCACCAGATGGTCATGCTTAGATGTTGTCCCTCCAAATCCCAATGCCAGGAGAAAGAGGCTCAGAGGGCATGTGGGAAGTCTGGGGTCCTGGCCTCCAGATTCTTCATTGGAGCTTTCCTGCCCCCCAGGTTTGAGAACAGCCGAGAGTGAGGTATGGAATGACCTGAGATCCAGCCTCAGGTAGAGGAAGGAAGCACTGGTAGTGGACAGCTTAGCTCTGACGGCCTAGAGGGCATGGGCAGTGGGACCATGGGAAGCCACCTAGAAAGGGGCTCTATCAACATAGCTGGTGTCTGGTCTATCAACATAGTCTCTCAGTCTCTCTCTTTCTCATTCTGGAGATGTCAGTTTAGTCCCCACCCCTTCACTCCCCATCCCTAGCAGCCAGTCTCACCAGAATTAACTCTTGTACCTCAGGTTGCTCATGCTCTGATCCCCACAGTTATCCTCTGCATCAGTTCCCAGGCTTCCATTTGCTTTAATCCCTGTCTTTACCCAAATTGTTCCTGTTTCCTGGTCACTGTCTCTGGATGCCCTGGAGGCATCTCAGTGCAGCAAGTCCAAAATAGAACTCATCGACTTCCCACAAGTCTCCCCATCTGAGTAAATGGCATGCTTCCCCTCAGGGCCTTTGCACTTGCAATTTCCCTATTTGGACAGCTCTTCCTCCAAATATCCCTTGCCTCCCTCAGGTGTCTGCTCAGACGTCACCTTCTCAAAGACATCTTGCTTGACCACAGTCTCTGAAACAGCCCGCATTCTCCTCTGTTGCTCCTGCCCCTTACCTGACACCATTTTCCTTCTTTGCACTTAATACAGGCATTGTGTGCATGGATGCTGCTCTGTCTGCCCTGTGCCACCTGAAGGTAAACGCCGCATAAGCACAGCAGGTATGTCCCCAGGTTTTAGACCTTCCTTGGTGTCTGAGAGTGTATCTGCTTGCCTCACTCAGTGCTGGACATTTGTGGTAAGCTCTCAATAAATACTTCTCGAACAAATAAGCCTGTGACCAGTCCCTTTCTCCTCAGATGCACCTTCCATTTGCCCCAGTTGTTTCTTAAACTTGACTATGATGCTTCCCTGTCCAAAACCCTTTATAGATCTAACTTTTGCTTTCAAAATAAAACCCGCCTCTGGTTTTCCTTACAAGGTCCTTAGTGATGTATTTCTAGCCTGACCTCCTGCTTCACACAGCCTTCTCCAAACACAGTTTCTCTCTCTCTCTCTCTCTCTCTCTCTCTCTCTCTCTCACATACACAAACACACACACACACACACACACAGGGACAGAGACAGCCAGAGAGAGCGAGAGACAGACAGACAGACAGACAGAGGAGCCCTGTACACTATTCTACCCCTTCTATCTAGTGCTCCCTCACTATGTGTGTGTGTAGTACTGGGGATTGAACCTAGGGTTTTCACACTGAACTACATCCCCAGCCATTTTTATTTTTCATTTAGAGACAGGATCCCACTAAGTCACTAAGTTGCTCAGGCTGGGCTCTCACTTGCGATCCTTCTGCCTCAGCCTCCCAGGGTGTTGGGATTGCAAGGTGTATGCCACCATGCCTAGCTGCTCCCTCACTTCTTAAGTGGTCCTGCATTTTTTGCCTCCTTCCCTTCTCCTCTCTCTCCTCTCTCTCCCTCCCCCACTCTTCTTTCTCCCCTTCCTTACCTTCTCTTTTCCTTCCTTCCTTCCTTCCTTCCATGTTTTTGGAGCAGATCTTGGTGCTGGGCCTCCTGCTGAGCTGTTCTGGGAGGCCTCAGTGTCCACCCTTCTCGAAAGTCTTCTAATCTGGCAGGGAAGGAAGCCATGAGATCATCATTCCCTCACTAGTTCCTCCTTTATTGTCCTTTGGACATCCTGACATCACCTCCCTGTGCCCAGCCGGGTCTCTGCGGGGTCCCCACAAAGAGTTTGCCCTGGCCTTTGCCTACCTCTGGCTGTGAGATGGAACCTCATGGAAAGGCTGGATTTGGAGTCTGCCTCACCTCTTTGTGTGAGTACTTCTGGGAGATGGGATGTGGGTGAACCACCTCTGAGTCCCCGAGTCCCAGTTTAGGGCATGACCGCAGAGGGGACATCAAGTGACTCAAGGATGCCCCTGTGCTCTGGGACTTCTGAGCCTTAGCCTATTCACTCCACAGGGTCCAAGACCCAGGGAGGGGTGAGGTTGTTAAAGTGAGCATGAGGGTCTACACACAAACTTGCCTGGGTCTCTGGGTCCGTGTGTATGTACACTCCTGAGTGTGCATTGGCAGGCCTTCCCCCTGAGCCAATGTCAGGGCCCGTCCCAGACTCCTGGGGACATCAGGAAAGCCTGGAAATGTTAAGTTGGGGCATGTGTGTGATGGGCTTGTTCACCGACACCACTGCCTCCAGACTGGCAGCCCTGCCTGTGCTCTAGCTAATCCTAGCACTGCCACAAGACCGCAAAGGCCTGTTGCTCAAAACAGATAAGCAAGGTGGTAGAGCTAGTGCCACTCTGATAATGGCCCATCCTCTCCGGCCATTGGCTCCTGAGAGCCCATTGAGTGCCCGTGGGTTGTTGCCCCAGTCCCTGTGAGGAGCGTGTGGTCCCCTCACCCCCTCCGGGAACCCAGACAGGACAGAGGCTGTGCTGGCACAAAGCATGGGGCAAGGCTTGCTCTGCCCATTTGGACCTATGCTTCCATTCCCTATTTCCCTATCACACACTCACAGACTCATCCCCATAGCCATGCACAGAGACACACCGGCCCTCACAGGCACACTCACAGAGATACACAGTGACACAGACAGTAGAGCACACAAGCGCACTGACATACTCAAAGACACACAGCAACGGAACACAAATAAAAGCATAGATATGCTGGTACAGACTGGTCCCTACAGTTCCTCACCCACACACAGATACACCGAGATGCCAGCGCTCACCCACACACCTGCACAGACACATCGACACACCTTCACACCCCTGCGGATGCCGCTGATATGACATGGGCGGTGAGCACACGGACACATGCAGGGCCTGGAACATGGTCACACAAAGATACAGACATGCACACATAGGCTCATTTGCCCTAAAATACACACTTGCAGACGCAAACGCTTACCAGGAGCACGGCCAGACACTGACAGCTCAGGCATTCCTGTGGTGGTGGTCACCTCTGAACTCTCAAGCACATTGACACGGCCCATGCAAGGGCTTGCACATGGCCTCACAGAAGCTCAATCACAAAACCCACTCAACCAAACACATGCCACACTCTCAGGTACGCATCCACAGACACACAAGCGGTACACACATTTACACAACACAGACTCACTTGCAGCCGGGGCTACCTTTGAAATTCAAATCTGTGCTCCCCTCCGTCACTCTTTGACAGAGGCCTGGCAGCCCCTGCAGCTGCCTCCACCACCAGCTGGAAGCTCACTGTGCCCTGCCTGCCCCAGCAAGCGGAAATTAAAATTCATTCCAGGGAAAACCCGGCAGGGCTCAAGATGCTGGCAGCCTAGGCAGTGTGGACCTATGTGAGCCAGAAGCCGTGTGGGAGACCATAGGAGATAGAGTCCCTGTCCTCCCCACGACATGACCTTGACCTGACCCAGTGTCCTGCAGCCTCAGGGTTCCCTCAGGACGGGTTTGCCAGGAAGGCAGGTGGAGCTGGCCACACTGGTTGGCAATGGAGGGCATGAGGGCTTCCTGAAAGTTAGTTCCATAAGTCCCTGGAGACAAGAATCACAAGGCCACCCTTGCAGATCTGCGTGAGCGCGCGCGTGTGCACACGCACAAACACACTGATCCATGCCTCTCATCTGGGACAGGACCACCTATGGACACATACCAAATAGTGTCATACTCAGACTCCACTGGGAGCTGAGGACCTGCTGGCACCTGCAAGCACACATGACACACACCAGAGGCTGGCAAAGACACGTACTGCACACACACACACACACACACACACACACACACACACACACAGAGGCTTAAACTGAACACAAGGAAAGACCACACTCTGGCTGCACACAAACTGCAATGACATGCAAACCCTGCCCTGTCAGCACACTTCCCATTCCCCCAGATGCCAAATGACTGCACAAACTCCAGCGTCACACACATGTATGTACTCTACACCCTGCATGCACACAAACAGAAGAAGAAATACATAAAAATTCCACAGCTCTGGAAACACACACACACAACAGAGATCCCAGAGCCGGGTCCAGGCTTCTGACGTACAAGGCCTAGGCAGATACACACAAAACCTGCTCACAGGCACACCATACACACACACACAGATTCTCCCCCTACACATTGACGCACACAACCACCCACTCGTGTACCCGAGCTCAGCCCCACTCACTCCCACTCTAACACGCAGAACACTTGCTCAGCCAGGCACTCCAGGGCCCCCCTCCAACCACAATACCCCATTACCCTCCATCCACAGGCCTGGCACCAAGCCTGGAGCCCCTTGAAGTCAGAGTTCATAGGGTTGACAGTGAGCCAGAAGGCCCACTCCTCACCCAGCAGGCCCTGCTTTCCTGCCAGGTGTGATTGTGTAAGTCCAAGCAAGATGGACGGGTATCCTTTGGGGAGTGTCAGCAAGGAGTGCAGCTGTGCCTGCCCGGGACACATGTGGATATCCCTTGGCCTTCCCAACACCCTCAGTGATGCTGGTTGCCTCCCCCAAATCTGGGTGCTCAGTCTCAGCCTCTTATTGCAGGGCCAAGCCCTGGGAGTCAAACCGCCCAGATCTCTCACCCTGAGGGAGCTGGTCTTCTCTGGAAGATCAGCTCTAATCCCCAAGTAAATTGTTTTCCACGGCCAGTGCTTGGTCTGTCCTCTGGGGGGGGCGGGTAGTAAGGAGGACTCGGATGTATACGGGGCAGGACTGGGGAGGGTCTTGCCTGGTCTACTGAGGCACAGAGCCTGTATCTGCCTCTCTCTAAAACAGTTTCCTCATCTGAGAAATGGGGGTGACCATGCCAAATTTAGGGTTGTTCAGAGGGCTAATCTTAGCAAGAAGTGAAAAGCAGCAGGCACAGTGTCAGGTCCACAGTGTGAGCTGGTCTCCCTAATCTCTAGGTTACCCCACGCTGTCTGCTCTGCTCATTGTGTCCTGCTTGGCACGAGCCCAGTTCAGCAGGATCCAGGTGGCACAGAGCCCAGCGGGGAGAGGACCTGGGATATTCCAGATGACCACAATGCACTGGCCTTCCAGTGCCAGTGTACCTCACACCTGTGGAGTGTCCCAGCCCCTTCCTGAGGGTTCTCTTGCCTCTCCCCCTAGCAGGAAGCTGGAGCAGCTCTTCACAGGCCCTCTATATGCTGCATGTCCACTGGCTTCAGGGGGTGGACACAGGGTGTGGGGCTGTCATTGGTGACTGGAGTGGCTTCCAGGGTGCCTGTCCTCAAGGCCTGCAGCAGGGGAGTGTAGAATTAGACCTCAGAAGGCAGTTGTGGGCTGCCACCTTCTGTGAAGGGTTGTGTGTGACCCCAGCCTAAAGCAGGAGGTGATAGGACTGTTACCTAAGCCAGACAGTTGTTGCCTGGGCCAGAAAAATGGGGACTTATGTTCTTGGGTTGTGTATGATTATTTACATCCTTAGACAAGTCTGTGCTTCAGGGCTGTGTTGCTGTGTGGACATGGGTTATCTATACACCCAGATGTGTGCTCAGATCTGTTTACACATACCTGGAGGGCAGATGAGGAAAAGGAGAGTCCAAATAAGGGGAGGTGGTCCAGATTCAGTTTCTCTGCCACATCCACACTGTCCTGGTCACACCAGTAGGACCAGGAAAGTGGCTCCTGCAGTGGCTCGGTGTGCCCTTCTCAGCAATGGTCTCAGTAGACCGAGCTCCCACTGAGAGCCTCCTCTCCTTTGTGGGTGGCTCTGAGAAGGGATCAAGTTCAGGGCCCCAATTCTGAGTCATCTCCCTGTCCCTAGAACCTGGAACAGCCCTCAGCATTGAGTAAGTCTGAAAGGTACCTATTTTGACACAGATGACACCTCCCTGGCCATAGCCTTTGTCATCTCTGTGACTCACATCAGCTCTGCTAAGTTGGGTTCATTTTTCCATTTCAAAGAAGAGAAAACTGAGGCTTACGGTCACATGGTGAGTGAGGGATCCAGATCATTGTGATCCGGGAGCCTAAAATCTTTCTGGTTCATCACACGGGAAACTGAAACACTGTTTTAGTGGTAAGCATAGATTAAGGGTCACAGACTGAAAGCTCTGTGAGGGCAGGGTTTCTATTTGCCCTTTCACCATTCAGTTGCTCAACAAGCATTATCTATATTTGTAATATACTCTCTTTGTTACTACTAGAGGGTCCAACTAGAATAGATGAACAAGTCCTTGCCCTCCTGGAACTCACCGTCCGGGGGAAAATAGGTGACGTATGTACAAATAAATAATCTGTTTTCAGAGTAATGAGTACTATCAAGAAAATACAGTAGGGCCATGAGATGGTGGGGTGGGCACAGGGATGTCAGAGGAGGCTTCCTAGAGGAGGTGATATTGGACTGAGCCCTTCCCATTGAGGAGCAGTCAGCAGTGGGGATTGCTAGGGGAAGGGTTGGGGCTTTGGAGTTTTCCAAGAACAGAAGGATAACTAAGCAACTCACTTGGACAGAGTGTGGGTGGGTGTAGGGGTGTGGAGGTGGGTCGGGAGAGGCTGGTAGGGGCTAGAGCATGCAGGGCCTGGGAGGCCACAGTCCTGGAATAGTGAGACGCCGCAGAGGGCTTAAGAAGAGGCATTCTGATTTTCACTAGAAAGAGATGCCTCCGTGGGCTCCAGGAGAGTGGATTAGGGTGGAGGAGGTAGGAGTGGGAGCCCAGGAATTAAATCAGGGAGACTCCAAGCACTGGACAGTGATGACTTGGCCTCTGGGGTTGGCAGTGAGCATGAAGAGTGAAGAGTGGCTAGATCAGGGATATTTTTGGAGGTAGAAGCAACCTGATGAACTTGCTGATGGACTGAATCCCAGTGCCTAGAACACAAGAAACACTCAATAAATATTTGTTGAATGAATTAATAAAAGGAACCTTGTTGGTGCCACACTCTATAAATATTTGTGTTCACCCTTCAGTATGAGATATATGAGGATCACTCAGGAACCCAAAGGGCTTCTTCATCTTCTACCTTAGGGGCGAGGGCCAGAGAATGTAGGCATTGCCCAAATGGGCTGCACACAAACCAGACTCACCCTCTAGGAAGATTTGGCTAGGGATCAACTAATCTTCCCTTTTCTCTCCAGCCTATAGCACCAAGAAAATGACAAGCACCCGGCCTGGACTGCCCCAGGCTCCTAGCCTACTTGGTATCTGCAGTAGGAAGGAGGAAACTAGAAGTGCAGGACTTCCTGTAGGTGCAGAGGGCACCCTTTCTAGGATAGCTCTCCAGGATCCATGACATGCAGAGAGGTGAGGTATTGGTCATATGAGCTCCAGGGCTGATCTTGGTGAGAAGACTGTCACATATATTTGGGTGTCTTGGTGATGAGTGTGAGGCTGGAAGGAGATCTTGCCCCAGAGCTTTGGGTGGCCCTGGAGTGCTTGGCTCAGTGGCAATGGTGGTCAGAGGCTGAGGGAGGGGCACTCCTAGGTCCCTCAGGCTGGAAAGAAACCTGCCTAGGCTCTGGGCCAAATAAATCATTGGAAGAGAAGAAGAACATTTTCTCATCTGTTTAAAGGGCAACGAAGCATAACAGTGCTAGCCCAGCGGGAGGCTAGGCTGAGGCCAGGTGGGTGAGGCCAGGGGCGCTTCCTCCTTGACCCACCATCCGCTTATAAGCCGCCCCACTGGCTCAGGCTTTGCCAGTTCTGCTGTTCCCAGCTGAGCCACTGGTGGTTGTTACTGTTAACAAAAATATTAATTTATAATATGATTGTTATTTTTGAGGCCTCTTCCCAGGGCATATCCCTTGCAGATCCATACCTTTTATCTTCTGGGAGGCCAGGTTGAGATAGTTACACCCTTTCGCAGATCAGGAAACAGTCCCAGAAAGCTCAAGGGACTTCCTCAAGGTCACAGAGCGAGGCCGAGTGAGAGCAGGGTATGCAGCCTGGCCTCTAGTTCCCCTTAGGTATTGGCCCCTTCTATCCCATCAGTGGTTCCAGAGGGGGTCCCAATGGGGCTGTAGGGCTGGGGTCACTGTCCTTTTTCCAGTGTGTGAGGGTACCAGGGTATGTCCCTCTGCTCTGCCTGAGTCCTGTGTGCTCAAGCTTGGCTGACACCCCTTCCCATACCCAATCTCTGCCCCAGGTTCCCTGCAGGCCCCTCCTGGGGCTAAGACTTGTTCTTCCCACCCCCGCCTGGGCTGTTCAGAGAAGTAATTTCTCTTCAACCAGCTGGATTTGAATATGGAAATGATTTGTAATTACTCCAAGTCCTCCCGGGCGGGCAGGCAGCATTATCACCAGTGAGTCTGGAAGGGCAGGGGCTCCTGGAAAGAGAGGTGGGGAAGCCCTGATGCAGGGAGGTACCTCCAGAGAGAGCCTTCCAGAGGCCTGCTCTAGTCCAGCTTGCTCCTATGTAAGCCTTCTCGTTCTGTCCTCCCCAGCCTGCCTTGTGAGCCTCCAGGGGCTAGGGTACCCCACTGTGTCCTACTACCTGTCTTTCCTAGGGCATACATTATTGTGGCTAATTAATACTCTGTGGCTAAATGAATGGGGTCAAGAAGTCAGAAGGCTACCAAGGAACAGAGAAGCAAAAATGCTGCCATCTTTCTGGAGCCAGCCCCTGCCATCACCCCCCACCCAGCTGGAAGAGGGCCTTAGGGATCCAGCTGCATCACATCTGCAAGAGACCTGCCTGGGCTTCTCTAGGCTCTGGGTCTCTAGTATACAAATACTCATGAATATTCATAAAGAGGGAGGCAGTCTCCCTGTAGGAGAGGAAGGGGCTAGAGCTGTGGATCACAGGTCCTGGAGCCTTCTAAGGGTTTGTCCTTCACCCTTTGTAGGCAACCTGTGTTCTGACCATCTCCCCTCTTTTACCCTCCTCTTTGAGGCTGAAATCCCAGCAACTCCATTGCCTCTCACAGTGCCCAAGGAAGCAGGGGCCCAAGATCTCCCCCTGTACCAGGGTAGTTCTCAGCACATTTCACAGATGGCAAGGCCTGCCTGGCTCAGAATTCACAGTGGTGGCTGAGCCTTCAAATCCAGAGATGCCAGGGTGTATTTGAGGGTGCCCAGCCAGAATCTAAGAGCCCTGCCTGGCTGTGCTAGGCCCAAAGCTCTGGCCTCTATGGGCTCCTGGAGGGAAAGGGAAAGTGTCCGCCCAGCCCTCCTCCCTGCTTCACACAGCCTCATAAATTCCCTTAAGGTGACAGGTGAGATTCCTTCATCACCCCTTATTACCTCCTTCCATTAAAGTCGATAATCTCTCACAATCACTCACAACAAATGTCACTGCGACTGCAGAGGGGGAGGGACAGAGGGAAGGAACGGGGTGGTTCTCTTTGCCTCTCCCTGGTCTGCCCCTGGGAATAGGTGAGTTCTTCTCATTTTGTCTCCATCTCTAGGGTGATAAAACTCAAGAAATATCAATGTAAAGGTGGGGTAGGGCCTATGTGGACTGAGGACTTCCTTGCGCATACAGGATTTGGCCCCTCACAGTAGACAGCTTTCCAAAAGTAGGCCCTGAAAGCATCCCACCCTCAATGAAAAGCTGCCCCCTGCTGGCTTCTTCTCTGACCAGAGCCATTGGATTAACCTACATGTTTTGGCTGTGATGGTGTGTCCCCAGTCTGCCCACCTTCCAGGTGGCAACAGGCCCAGGCCACAAACCACCTGACCAGGACCCTGAGCCATGGGCATCTCCCTGGGTATCGCTTGAGCCATGTGGGCCCAGGCCCCACCCAACTGTTCCTGGGCACAGTGCCAGAATGGGGAAGGGGTGGGTCTGTACATCTCTGAGCTTCCACACAAACAGATGCAACATGGGGGCGCCCCTGGCACAGGGAAAGGCACTTGTGGGAATAGATAGGAACTCAGGAAAACATGTAACACACTGTACACGTGTAGCATCCCCGTGCCTAGGGACATGCAATGTTGCAGCGTTTACATCACATTATGCACCAAACATGATACACTGCAGTACATATGTGGCTCCTACATACTAGTTACCCATAGTACTCAGCACATACGTGGTACCTGTGAGCTTATACACATATAGCATCTCTACATACAGGAACAAGCTGCATGCATTCAGGACCCAAGCACATATTAATACTCTGTGCATGTGTGTAGCACTTGCACACATGAGCCAGGCAACATTGCAGTGTACACGTAGGGCACCTGTATGCATATGCAAAGTTCAGAGCACATAAGTGGCACCTGCATGCACAGGGACATGCAATAAGCAATGCACACGGGGCAGGCTTCAGTCTCCAGAGCCCGGGAGACCCTGGCTGCGCGAGATGCTTCTGGCTTGGGGTATCGCTGGAGGGGCGTCGCGAATCGCCTCACTCGGCGGTCCTGGAAGCCACAAGCGGGGTGGGGGCTTACCCGGGGCTTCTCCCGCGCCGGCGCCTGAGGCCCGGGGAGGAGAGGGGGAGGGCGCGCTTGGCTAGGCTGGCGCTGCTCCCCCTTTAACAGGAGGCGGCGCGCGTCCCCCCCCCACCACCACCCTTCTCCCGCGGCTCCTCGCGCCCGTCCCGGCGCGCGCCCCCTCCCGGGCCCAGCCCGCGCAGGCGCCGCGTCCCGCCTCGGCCGTCACTCGGCCCGGCGCGCGTTGCGGGCAGCGGCCGGAGCGGCCGGAGGAATCCGGTTCGGCGGCAGCGGCGGTGACAGCGGCGACGCTCGGAGACCGAGGAGGATGCGGCACCGGCGCTCAGAGCCTGGGGCTGCGGCCGCCGCCCGCGAATAGGAGGCGGCGCGCAGCGCGGGAGGTGCTCGGGGCGGGGGAGCGGGGGGCGGCGTGGCGAGGAGGCGGCGGCAGAAGCCCGCGCCCGCGCCCGGCCCGGCGCCCGCCCGACCGCCCGCCCGCCCCGCGCTGCTCCGCGGCGCCTTTTCTGCACTCGCCGCTCCACGGAGCGGGAGCCTCGGCCCTCTGCGCGGCTGCAGCGAGCTGCCCTGCGTCCGGCCCGGCCCCCGCCTTAGGGATGGCAAACTTGCGCCCTGTGGCCGCCTCCGCCAGCGCCGGCCCCCGCTCCTGCTGCTGACGGCGCCCAGGTAAGTGTTCGGCCCCAGACCCAGCCCCAGCCCCGCGCCGAGCCCTCCCGGCGCGGTCCCGAGTTTCCGCACCAGCCCGCACTCGGGGCGCTCTCCGAGCCCATCTCTGCTGAATTCTCCCCCTGCCCGACCCGAGTAGGTCCAGCGCTCACCCACCCTCGTCTTTTTGGGAACTCCCAAGCCTGGGGCCGAGACCCCCTTCATCTCTGATGAGTCCCTTTTCGGCATTCCCGCCCCCCCCCGCCCCCGCGCCTGGACCGACCCCCTCTTACCGTCTGTGTTAAAGTCCCCCATCTTTAGAATCCTGTCCTAGACCGTCCCCAGTCGCTGTCTCCAGTCTTTCCCAGTCTCAGTCCGGATCCAGCAGTGCCCCCTCCCCTTGAATAGAGAGCCCCTCTCGCCAACCTGCAGCTCAACTGTGTCTCGCCTCCTTGTCTGGGTGCCGGACCCTTGGTCCTCTCCGGCACTTCGTCTCTGCCGGAGTCTCCTATCTCTATCCGTCTGTTTCTGCCCTCCTCAGCGCCTGTACCCCGACCATGTGCCCCCTCTATTTCTGCCCCAAGCGCCCCCTCCCCCATATCTGCCCCAGAGTACAGCCTTCCCTCGCCAATCTCTGCTGCAAGTCCCCTCCCCCCAGCCTGGAATATGGGCCGTGTCCCCCTTGTCTTCCCCAAGCCCCCTCCCTCTGGCCAGGATCTCCGCTAGACCCGCATCCCTGACTCCCGTGTTCATCTCTGGCCAGATCACTCAGCCTCTCCTCCCACCACTGGGCATGGAGCCGGGCACCAGGCTCACCCTCCTGCAGCCCCAGGGGCAGGCATGATTTCGGGGGTGGTAGGCTGTGAAGTTGGTGGCCACTCCCGCAGTCGGCTCGGTCCGAGGGCACAGCCACGGGTGGTCCTCTGCGGCCACGGCCAATGCAGAGCATGCGGCGGGTTTGTTGCCCGCGGGGGGAGGGGCGCCCGGGCCGAGAGATGCCGCCCGCTTGCCCGCCTTGCCAGCTGCCTGCCGGGCCCCTGGGCATCCTCTGGCGCCCCCTGCCTGCAGCCTGGGACCACCGCCCCTTCTCCCGCGGGCAACCCCAGGTTTCTGCAGCCCAAACATTAGCAATGGCTGCAGGACTGGCGCTGGGAAGTCCCTGGGGAGAGGAGGTGGGAGCGAGGCTGGGTGCCCCCTCGTGCTAGCCTGACCAGACACTCCAGTGTTTTCAGCCTCTATGTTCTGGGGTTGAGGCAGGTGGGAGGGCTCATCCCAACAGCAAGTCAGGAGCCCTTTAAGGAGCAGACATGGAGTGGCTGAGCTGGCCCTTTGGCTTCAGGACGCATTGTTGTTGGGTTTGTCTGGGCTTAGGCAGGTGTCCCCAGGGAGCCTCTGTGTACCCCAACCCTCCCCTGTAGGGAGTAGGGTAAAAGCGGATCTTTGTGGCTTGGGCATGGAGTAAGCTGAGGGGGAATCCACCTCACCCAGGGACAGAACAGACACCTGGGGAGTGTCCCCTGCACTGCCACAGGGCAAGGTTCAGTGTGGATGCTGCACAGGGTGTGCTCTAGTGATGGTCGGGGGGGAGCTGAGGGACCAAGACTGACAGAAGTGATCTTCCCCCTTTTTCTTTTCAGCCTCCTCTCCTGGTCTTCCTCCCTTGTTCTGTCCCCTCCCTCACCATATCTCAGAAAGGGACAGGTCTAGTGTGTGGGGGGGTGCATGGTGGGCATTTCTATAACACAAAGGGAGATTCCAGCTGGTCTTTGCTTCCTGTCTTCTTTCTTAGCCTCCAGGTATTGAAGCTAAAGTAGTTAGGAATTCAGCAGTTGGCCTAGTGACCTGGCTTCAAAAGGTGTGTGACCTGGACAAGCTATTTAACCTTTCTGAGCCTCAACTGATCCTCTGTAAAATGATCACTGCCTTATACAGTTGTTGGGAGAATAAAATGAGATGGTTCTATAGTGTTTGGCACCTACCAATGCTCATTGATAGGTGAGTTGTGCTGTTTCTCTTCAAAGCCAAGGTCAGGCCCCTCTCTACTCCACTTCTAATCCCAGAGAAGACATGCAAAACAGGTTCTAGTGGCTTCACTCCAACCTCCAGGATAATAAAGACAGCTCTACTCCCTCCCATAGGTCTCTGGAGCCTGTGACTGTCAGTTTCCCCTCCTCTCATGGATTCTTCAGCATCCCACTGGGCCTCTTAGAATCAGCTCTGACCACAGGTGCAACCATGGACGCCCAGTGAAGGTCTCTGAGGTCTAGGTGCAAGTGGAGAGTCTGGGGAGGTGGGCTCAGTACAGAGAAGATAACCAAGCCAGGGACCCCAAAGGCAGGCTGCTGCTTAGGGGGGGCCCACGTGAGAAATCAGTGACTGAGGCACAGAGGAGCCTCTTTCTCTCTCTCTCCAGGAGATCAGTCACCATCAGGAACTTTCCAGGGCAGTTATCGATGCAGGTCAGAGTTAGGGGCAACCTAGTGTGTGAGCCCAAGGAGTCTGAAAAACCTGGCTTTGGCTCGAGTGACTCAATGAAGGGCAGTGGAGGAAGGCAGGGAAAGAACAAGAACCCATGGGGCTCTGCACAGCTGGAAGTACTCAGGAAGGTCTGGGCAGTGTGGTGCATCCTAGGTCCCACGGAGGAAAGGCAGCCTCCCAGTCAGCAGCCCCCCGGGCAGCTCTGACATTGGGGAACAAAAGCTTTTGGTTCCTGTAGCAACGGTGGCTCCAGCTGCTGCAAAGTTCCGGGGAGGCTGGTGGAGGGCGGCTGAGTCACCGCCCCCTCCCCTGTCGCGCGCGCGGCACCGTCCCCGGGGCCAGCAGCCACCACTCGTCCTCTTTGGGTCTTGCCCGCCTTTGCATCCGTAGGGTGTGCAGGAGGCCTCCGGAGCCTCCTTTCGAAACAGAGACCCCCCCCCCCCCATAGTGTCACTGAGTGACGCTTTCGGCCAGTCAGAGAGAGCCTGGACCGGTGGTGGGTGGGAGCGCTAGCCCCGGGTCCCGCCCACCAGCTCCCAAGCAGGATAGAGGGTGTACGCCTCCCAGGGTACCAGAGGTCGGGGAGAGGGGTCCCCCAGCACTCTGACCCCCGGTCACTGCACGGGCAGGGGACCCAGAGGCCCCAGGTGGGGGTCCCTGCCTGCGTAGCTGCGGGGGTTCACCGGGCAGCAAGCGCCCCGGGAGGCGGAGGGTGAGTGACAGGCGAAGGAATTGGAGCTGTCAGGTGGATAAACGCGACGGAAGTGCTTGTTGCCGCGCCCTCTCCCCTTCTCGGGAGCCCCCGCCCCGTCAATCCCCTCCCCGCAGCGACCCTGCTCACCGTTGGCCTGGCAGACAGAAGTCAAACCTGGGGATCCCGGAGACAGCACTGGCCCCAGCTCACACTCCCGCCCAACCTATCCTGGTCTTGGCCTTTCCAGGGGATGCCTTTCCCTGCAGAAGCAGAGCCCGAGCTGGGCAGGCCTGTGGGGTCTGAGAGGAAGGGGACCTGAGTGTACCTGAGCAGAGAGGGATTTGCTGGGTTTGCTGGGGAGAGGGGCTCAGGCCGAGGACAGGGTTCCTGAGACTGAGGTTGCTCCAGGCAGTTCCTCACCCATTTCAGCCCAGAGGGGTCCTGGGGGAAGAGGCCTTTTGCCAGCCGCCTCAGACCCAGGAAGTTCTTCCTCATCCTTGAGTTCTGCCTCTCCTTTCTAGCTCTGGTGCAGTGGAGGGGTTCGTGGCTCAGAGGTGACAAAGCCACACTTACCATTCAGCCCAAAGAGTGTTCCCAGAGGTAGTGACCTGGACCTCAGCAGGCTAAAAGGGAGCTTTTGTGAGATTCAGAAAAAAGGGAGGGGAGACTAAAGCTTGCAGTGGGCCCAGCTCTGTGCTGGGAACTCATCTGGAGGCCAAGTGAGAAGTGTATGCCATCCTGAGGGTAGAAATCATGGTCTTCATTCCAAAGAGAGGGAAACTGAGGCTTGGAGTGGTTACTTGTGGCTAATAACTACTGTGGCTCCCTGTGAGGCAAGGATCCTTCTAAGTCCCCTTCCAGGGATAGCACAGGGAAAGGGCTCTGGATCAGGACAGGCCTTGGCCACACAAACCCAGGAGAGCCTTTAATGAATCAGTAGCTGTGTCCCAACTTGGAATTGGATCTTTGCCTAAGGGGTGAGAAGTGACATAAAGAGGAACTCCCAAAGGGAATATGTTGCAGCAGAAGCAGTGAGGGGCATACAAACCCAGGGTGAAATCCCAGAAGGGGTGTGAAGGTGTCAGAAGGAGACTGAATGGATGAGGGAGTTTGAGTAGCATTTACAGGTGTCTAAGTTCTAGAGAAGGCAGGCTGAGGCTCTGAATGATGTGGAGCTAGCACTTCTTGATAGATTGGGAGCGATAGAGGCACAGGATCTGGGATCCTGGGTCTGTACCACCAGCCTTGGTGAGGGAAGGGGCAACAAACAGGATAGATCCTGCCTGACACTTGGCTGCCATGTGCTGAACCTCGTAGGGCCAAACACCTGTGTTTGCTCACAGTTGGGAATACATGTGTATTTCTGTGTATGTATGCAAATGTCTGACTCTACATTGTGTGCATGTGAATGCATCCCTGTCTGAATACACACACTATGCATACACGCTGCATGATCACATTTCTGTGGTTTTCACCGATCTGTGTACATGTATATCTATTCATATGCAGAACACCTGTGAATGCCTGTCTATATGCTCATCTGTGCATGCATGCATTTGTGTGTGTATCTTCAGGGTACAAGGATGTTCAGATCTACATCTGCTGAGGTGTCTGTGGGGGTGTTCCCTGCCCTATTCTAAGTGGGGGAGGGAAGGCCAGTTATAATGAGCCCCCACCGCTCCTCTGCTGAGCTACAGTCATGGCCTGAATTTTGCAGCCTGCTTAAAAATAATTGGGGGCAGCGGGGGGGATTGGATGTCACTCATTATCAGATGCTGGCTTCGCTGGTGCCGCAGCAGGCTGGGCAGGATGAACAGTTTGGGACAGGTAGGGAAGGCCATGAGTCTGAGTCCTTTTTTCAGCTCTGACAGGGGGGTGGGGAGGAAACACAGCATCCAGTGGTCTTGGAGGAGGGTGGGCAGCTCCTCCCCAGGAAGTGGGCCTGCACTGAGCTGGACTTTCTCACCATGCTCCTACTCCTTGGGTGGCCTGGGAGGGGCAGGTGCTTGCTTTTAACGAAGGCCTGGCTCAGAGGTGCAACAAGTGGAACTGTGGAATGTGGGGCAGTTAGGGGAGCCGTGAATGCTGCATCCGAGGCTGGAACACTCAGATTCTAATCCCCCCACACTATTTAGAACAGTCAAGGGGAAATCTGTCCCCAGAGAGCAGCTGTATCTTGGGAAAATCTTGCCACACCTGTGAATGCCCCTATATTTGTAATTCAGCTCCCAGGTGAATACCTTGTTCATTTGTTTCTCTGGGTTCAGGCCTGAGAAACAAGCAAAGGGAAGGAGCAGGAGGCCCTTAGCCTCAAGGATCATGGACTAGAGTCTCCAGTTCTCAATTCCAGTCCCATCTGGGCCATTCCAATGTAATCTTGAACAGGAGGCTTCCCTGCTCCCAGTCTCATCTTTTCTTGAATGTGGAAGGGCTGGGCTCCATGAGCCAACCCAGGAGTGTGAGCTGTGGCATGGAGAAGGGAGGCCAGTAGATCTCTTGAAGGGTAGGACCAGAAGTGGGGGAGTGATCCAGACCTTACACCAGGCTCTTGTTTCTTGGGGCAGTTGGCAGAGTCTGGGTTGCTGTGAGCCGTGGTTCTGCCCTGTTTTGGTGAGGGGGAGGAGCACCTGCAGCTCTGAATCAGGGTGAGGCTTGGGTCCTAGGTGCCCCCCAGTGCCTGAGGCACATTCACACCTGCTAGGAGCTCAGCTTGGCAGCACTTTGTGGGAAAGTAGGTGACAAACTGGTCCTACTCTTTGGATCATGAGATGTGCTCTGGGGGAAGGATAGAAGTCATGGTGGCCTAGTGGCCCTGGCGTCAGGACTTGAAGGATAATCCCATGGAGGGGAAGGGGAAGAGGGAGGTAAGAGCGGAATTACCATGCCCATTTTGCAGATGAAGAAGCTGAGGTTTATGAGGCTCACCTTGCCAGTAGGTGGTTGGCTGAACTGGGGTTCAAGCCCACCATCCCATTGCCTGGTGCTTCTTGTTCCAACCAGGAAATCCCCTGCAGTGATACACAGTATGACATTCACACTAGCAGTGCTCTCCCTCCCAAAGTGGGCATGGCTGAGTTGAGCACAGTCCCTGGCACACTGGCTGTAACTCCACCCCTTTCTCTCCCGCTCAGTGAAGCAAGTGAAAATGACATTGTTCTGGGAATAACCTTGAATTGCTGTGATTTATAAAAAAGCAAATCATTGTCAAACATCACCATTTTGACTATTACTGCTGGATCACACATGACACTCCTCACAGCTGATCATGACACACAGTGACTGAGAGCAACAGTTATGGAGAATAAAGGTGGGGTGGTGGGGATGAAGCTGGATCTGAACATCAAGCCCAGATGCTGGTAGCTGATGAGCTGAATAGGGGAACCATAGAATGATAGCGACAGCAACTAAAGCCCTTAGAAATGAAGGGCTTAGAAATTTCCAAGCCTTCTCCTGAGCCATTTCCCTCACTTGTCTCATTTTACCCTTGTAGGAAACTTGTGAGACAGATACTGACATTGCTTCATTTTATAGGTAAGGAAACTGAGGCTTAGTTGTCTATTGTCTAAGATCACACAGGTGGGCCTGAGTGATTTAAAAGAGCACAGTCTTTTGTAATCCCAGCACTTGGGAGGTTGAGGCAGAGGGATCACCACAAGTTCTAGGTCAGCCTGGGCTACATAGTGAGTTCAAGGCCAGCCTGAACTACATTGGGAGACCCTGTCTGAAAACAAAGAGCACAGTCTTAAGAGGCTCACTACCTGCAGCTGGCCCAGGAGGTTCAGAGCCCATTCTGGCTATGTGGAGGCCTGCTGACTTCTGTCTCTCTCCACAGGGCAAGGGACATAGGATGACCCCAGCCTGTCCCCTCTTACTGTCTGTGATTCTGTCCCTGCGCCTGGCCACCGCCTTCGACCCTGCTCCCAGTGCCTGCTCTGCCCTGGCCTCCGGCGTGCTCTACGGGGCCTTTTCCCTGCAGGACCTCTTTCCTACCATCGCCTCGGGTTGCTCCTGGACCCTGGAGAACCCCGATCCCACCAAGTACTCCCTCTATCTGCGCTTCAACCGCCAGGAGCAGGTGTGCGCCCACTTTGCCCCTCGCCTACTGCCCCTGGACCACTACCTGGTCAACTTCACCTGCCTGCGGCCAAGCCCTGAGGAGGCCGGGGCCCAGACAGAGTCAGAGGTGGGGCAGACAGAGGAAGAGGAGGCAGCAGCAGCGGGGTTGGAGCTGTGCAGCAGCTCAGGCCCCTTCACCTTCCTGCACTTTGACAAGAACTTTGTGCAGCTATGCCTGTCAGCTGAGCCCTCGGAGGCCCCACGCCTGCTGGCACCTTCGGCCCTAGCCTTCCGCTTTGTTGAGGTCTTGCTCATCAACAACAACAACTCCAGCCAGTTCACCTGTGGTGTGCTCTGCCGCTGGAGTGAGGAGTGTGGCCGTGCTGCAGGCAGGGCCTGTGGCTTTGCCCAGCCAGGCTGCAGCTGCCCTGGGGAGGCGGGGGCCGGTCCTGCCACCACATTTCCGGGTCCTCCTGGTGACCACACCTTGTCCAATGCCTTGGTGCCCGGGGGCCCAGCCCCGCCTGCCGAGGCTGATTTGCACTCTGGGAGCAGCAATGACCTCTTCACCACTGAGATGAGATATGGTGAGTGAGCAGGGCCCTGGTGGGATGGGGTGTCTAGGAGGCTGGGGGTGTCTCATGGTGTCCATCCCAGAAGATCCTAACACAAAGGTGTAGTTATTCACAGATGTCACCTCTTTGCTCAGTCTTGTCTAAATGATGGGGTCATTGAAATGGATTGGGCTCAGGCCTCACTCTGGAATTCCAGAGTGTGCAGTCTGGGTGGATGGATGGGCTACAGATGGGACAATGCAGAGTGATATGTAAACCACAGAAGGCGTCCCCGCTGGGCAGCCAGGGTGACTTCCTAAAGGGAGTGGTGCAAGAACTGAGACCCGAAGGGCAAATGGGAGTGACACAAGCCAAAAGAGTGGCGAGGGCATTCCAGGCAGATGGAACAGCGCACAAAGGCCTCTCGCTGGGAGTGGCTGTGGCAGGCCCTGGCACTGCATGTTGACAAGTTTGCCTGCAGGCTGGAGTGAGCATGGAGCAGAGATATGTTCCTGCCCAGATGGATCAGTGACTCTTGGCAGTGCCCTAGGGTCAGGGCAGAAGTAGGCAAGGAAGAGTGTTCCTGGGTGAAGAGGCCTGAGCTTTGAGGCTGCCTGGGAGGGCTGAGCTGGCCCAGCTCCCTGCATCCTACCCCCGCTCTGGGGCTATGTCTTCTGGGACTGAGGCTGCCAGCTGCCGGAGCTTCCTGCTGACTGGGCAAAAGCTCCGTAAGCCCTTGAGTCCTGCCTGCTGTGCACTCACCCCAGCTTCCACAGCCACAGCCATGGCTACCTTCCGCTGACCAGGTTCCTGCGACTTCAAGGCCCCAGGCTCTTTGGCTGGACCCTGTGTGCCCACTGAACAGTGCTGGGCCAGAGACTGGCCAGGAGGCCTGGCAGCAAACAGGGGCCAAGGACATGGGGATAGGAGAGAGGCAGTCTGGGAGCTGGTCCCCATGTAGGGAGGCCACTGCCCTCTCTGGGCCTCAGTTTCTTCATTTGGGAAACGTGCTACCTTTAGACAAAGGAGGATACAGTCATCTGGGTCTCATTGACTACTTACACGGTGGCAGGGGCTCATGTGAGGATTGTGAGAGGACTGAGGGATATGACCTGTCTTCTCTCTGCTTTGGAGGCTAGAGGTGGGCACTGCCTTGACTGTTCATTGAATAATAAGGGCATCTGTAAAATGGGGAGATCTTCCTGAATTAGCTAGAGGGGCAATGGCAATGGCCTCTCCCAGTGATTTGGAGGGGCCCTTCTTGGCCACCCCCATGAAATATCTGGCATCATGCCCCTCCACCATGAATGCCCAGTGGCCTTGCTGTGGCCTCTGTCCAAGGCCAGCTTGGCCTCTAACAGCAGTCGATGAAGCCATCCGAGTGACAGCCAGACCGTGGGCAGGTTACAGGCCCTGGAGGCTGGCCTGGGATTTAGTGCCTGCAGGAGGAAATTGAATTTTGCTTCTTTGTCGAACATCAGCGGAGAGCACCAGGCGTATATCAGGAGGTTTATGGTTCTTCCTTCGTGGCTGCCACTGCCTGCCACTCTGTGAGAGCCTCCCCCATTCTGCTTAGCTGCGGGCAGGTTCTTTTGTCTGGCTTTCCGTGTCGTCCATCGGCCCAGTGGTCTGCAGTGGATGGAGCAAGGTTCTGTCCTCATGGGCGGGCACTGGCTGGGCAGGCTGCCATGTGGAGCACAGAGCCAGGAGCAGCCAGCTGGGCATGGTGGAAGCCGGAAGCTGGTTGGTAGCTGGGATGTCTTCGGGGTCAGAGAGGGCTGGTGACAGGAAGGGCACCATCATCAGAGCCTCCACAGGTTGAGCCTGGAGATGGATGGAGACTGGATGCCTGGTTCTTCTTGGTCCTGAGGCCTGGTGCCCTTTCTGAAAAGGGAGCCCTGCCCTAAGCTCCTAGCTCTTCCCAAGCCTGACCTCTACTTTTGTCCCTGGTCCTACTTGGCATGACTCCATGTGGTTGCTCTGTCGGGAAGGCCACCGTGGGGAGCTGGCATGGAGCATTGTGGCATCAGCTGGCATAAGTGAGCTCACATGGCACACTGGTACCTGGAGCTGGCTGGCATAGCCCCTTCCTCTCCCCTGGTAGGCAGGAGGCTTTTCTGCTCTGCCACCTCCTCCCTCCTGCCTAACCTTTCTGATGCGAGAGACAGCGGGCACATGACTCAGTTCGTTCCACATGAGTCTGTGAGTTGGAGGCATCTTCAGGTCTCTAAGCACTCTGGGTCAGCATCACTTTCACCAGGTCCTTGGATCCCCTGGACACCCCCATGCCTGCCTCACACAGGGCGGTGGGTCAGTGGCCTGGCACATGGAGCTGACAGGTAGAGAGGGAGTATCCTAGGAACAGTGGTGCACAGGCAGAGTGATACCTTCATCTCAGCCCCTCTACCAGGTACTGCAGTAGAAAAGCTGGGTTCACTTTCTCTGGGACAACCTGAGTGGTGTCCCAAGACCAACCAGAGTGGGCTGGGGTTAGTACTGGAGGAGCAAAGAGGCTGGGGGTTCTGCTGGGCAGTGCCCGAGTGGGGTGCCTCAGAGCTGAGTGCATTTGACAAGAGGGTACAGGCGTCTGTTAATTTCACGCAAACTGCCTTTGATAGATCTCTTGTTATTTTTGGTGAGTTGAGCCATAAATTTGTGCCATCTTGCTGCCACAATCTGTTAAGTGTGGGGAGAGGAAGAAAGAGAAGGCAGGCAGGAAGGAGCTCGGTGGAAGACTGGCACGGAGGCTGGCTGAGGCCGATGCTGGAAGGCGGGTGGGAGAGGTAGCACCAGCTGGAGAGCCTGGCTTCTGAGGGCAGCCTACCAGCCTGCAGTTCCTACCCACTGACCCTCCAGTCGAGGGGAGGCACTGTCCATGGGAATGGCTGTGCAGCGTGGCACTTGGGAGAAAGGGCCCCCACAAGTGACCCCTTCCCTCCTCTGCCTTCCCCTTACCCCTCAGGAGCAGTCTCCCACCTGACGTGCCAGCCCTGGTTCCCCGTTAGCCAGGCTTCATTCTTGAGCTGTGGCCTTCAGGAGAGCATGGGTCTCCTGGGAGATGGGAGTGGGTTCAGACCCCCATGCTGCCTCTGCTCTTGTGGTGATTGGACAAGATGCTACCCCTTATGGGGTCCCAGGACCCCCAGTTTTTTGTGTTTGCTTCCTGATCCAATGCCTTGAGACTCCCCAGCTCTGCTGAAGCTCCTCAAACAGGTGTTCATGCCCCATCCTGGACCCCAGCTCCTGTGCTTTTCTCAGTCTTCCGCCTAGTTCTTTCCTGCCCTTCCACCTGATACTCCTCCCTGTCTCCAAGGCCCTGCTTTCACACCCTCTGCCTCTGCTTGGGCTGCCCTCTTGCCTTGAATGCCCTTTGCCTTGGTTTTCCAGAGCTGCCTCATCCTCAGCACACTCAAGCCCCACCCCTTGATGCACCAGCCCAGGCCTGAGAGTGGCCTTGCCCCTCTTGGCACTCAAACAGGCCTGCTGTTCTCTGCTGGCCAGCCTGGTCTGGTGGCCGGAAGCAGGGTCCCACCTGCCTGGCTGGGGCTGTGATGGTGGGGAGGCCCTCTCTCAGGGCAGCATGGGGGAGCCCTAGCACAAGGTGGCAGTGGTATTTCCTGAAAGGTCCTGCCAGCCCAGATGTGTGGCATTCGAGCACTGTGTGTCCTATCAGGGGTGGGGAGTGCAGCTCTGGCTCTCCCAGACCTCTCAGCAGGCACTGAGTCCCAGCCCCTTCCCGCAGCGTGTGCTCATTCTTTATCAGTGTGGAATCTATGCCAAGTCCCAGGCTGGGTCTGACTGAGTGAGATCAGAGGCCAGTGAAGTGCATTTTGTGCCCTGTGGTGTGGCACAGTGACCACGAGTGCACAGTGGTGGTCAAGGCCACAGGCTGAAGTGGCCCAACCTTGGGTTCAGTTCCTGACCCTACCACTGACTATGTGGCCATGGACAAGTTACTTCCCTGCCATTTTGTCACCTGTAAAGTGGGGATAGTTAGATCTGTCCCTCGGGGTGACGGGGAGGATTAAGTGAGGGAATGTGGGTGAGTGCTCAGCGCAGTGCCTGGCTGCCTTAGTCCGTTTTTTGTTGCTAATAATACAATACCACAGACTGGGTAAGTTTTAAAAGAAAGTGTTTTATTTTGGCTCACAGTTCTGTTCCAAGGTCAAGGGTGTGCATCTGGTGATAGCTTTCTTGTTGGCAGAGTCCTAGGCGGTGTGGGGCATCACATGGCAGGAGACAGGGAGCAGCACCTCCCCTGCAATAAAGCCACCAAGATTCAACCATAGGACTCCACCGTGATGATTTTATCTAATCCCAGTCACCCTCCAAAGGCCCTACCTCTGAACTCCGCCATAGTCAGATTAAGTTTCCATCCTCTTCATGGCTCACAGTGGGGGTTAACTATCAACACATGGAGCCTTGGGGGACTCAAACCATATCCAAACCATAGCACTGATACCTTGTAGACCCCCTAATAACTAGTTGCTGTGCTGGGCATGATGGCACACACTTGTAATCCTAGCACTCTGGGAGTCTGAGACAGGAGGATCACAAGTTTGAACCCAGTCTGGGCAATTTAGTGATGTAAGAGAGACCCTGTCTCAAAATAAAAATATTTGTTTTGTTTTGTTTTGTTTTTGGTACCAGGGATCGAACTCGGGTCCTTGCGCTTGCACAGCAGGTGGCGAAACCACTGAGCTAAATCCCCGGTTCAAAATAAAAATATTAAGAAAGGGTTGGACATGTAGCTCAGTGTGAAGGTTCTGGGTTTGATTCCCAGTAACTCTCCCCTCAAAAAAAAAAAAAAAAAAATAGAGGGAAAGAAAAAGAAAAAGAAAAAATTGTTTCTGTGTGCTCATAAGTTAGTGTGATATTCACAAATGTGCATGTGATGGGAGGAGTATCGAGGGATGAGGAAGAGTGGAGGATCAAAGCACAAAGGAGTAGGAAGGTGGTGTAAAGAAGGTGATTCTGAGTTGGGGTTTGAGGAATGAATAGGAATTCACTAGCCTGTGAAATTTCTCTTTAAG